TTCTTTCTTTCTTTCTTTCTTTCTTTCTTTCTTTCTTTCTTTCTTTCTTTCTTTCTTTCTTTCTTTCTTTCTTTCTTTCTTTCTTTCTTTCTTTCTTTCTTTCTTTCTTTCTTTCTTTCTTTCTTTCTTTCTTTCTTTCTTTCTTTCTTTCTATCTATCTTTCGTTCTTTCTTTCTTTCTTTCTTTCTTTCTTTCTTTCTTTCGTTCTTTCTTTCTTTCTTTTTTCTATCTATCTAATCAACTTTTTTATTACAGTTTTTCTCAAGTCACTTTAGCTCAATTTTCAAATGGGACTTTTTCTTTGTTTTTTTTTTACTTTTACCTTCATATGTCCGAACACTTTGTTTCTTGCTTAGACCAGATTTTATTATTATTTTTTTTTTTAATGAATTTCAGCAACCTGCATGTGTTTAGGCACATGTGTGCAAAACAAGTACACTTCTCAACAATTTGCACAATAACTAAATACACACGATGAACCTATCACTCTTTTCACAACTTCACTGTTACACATACATAACTATGCATAGCTATCTATGACATGTATTGTTTTCCAATGTACTGTATATCGTGCTGTGATGTGCATGATCTTTATCTGTGTACCACAGTATTGACTTGTCCCACTAAACTTTTACCTACTGTTGAAATCTGTGTCCAAAAAAGCTCAGTGTGACACAACAGCACTCAGACGAAACGGACAGTCAGTGACAACAAAATTATATTTCCAAGATTGACCACCATACGGAAAATACATCGAAACATTTGACCAGTTCAGCTCACATGATGACGAAAAACTTCATTTTGGTGTCAGTGGCCAATTCACTGACACGAATGACATGTTTTTGACTACATTTGCAGTTGTGATGTCAGGAGTGTTTGATTAGGGTTGCAGTGAAACTCTTCAGGACCAACGTTGGTCACCACTGCTTTAATGCATTGCCTTAAAACACATCAATCTACAGATCCTGAGAATCAGCCCCATGACCTCTGTGCTGCATGTATTTATGCAGATGTTTTAATCCAAAGTAGTTTACAAAAGAGGAGCAAAAGCAATCTGTCAAGGAGCCAACGATATTTGTAATATGTGATCCTAGACCAAAAAAACAGTCATAAGGGTCCATTTTTAATAGGACAATATTTGGCTGAGATACAACTATTTGAAAATCTGGAATCTGAGGGTGCAAAAAAATCTAAATATTGAGAAAATCATCTTTAAAGTTGTCCAAATTAAGTTCTTAGCAATGCATATTACTAATCAAACATTAAGTTTTGATATATTTACGGTAGGACATTTACAAAATATCTTCATGGAACATGATCTTTACTTAATATCCTAATGATTTTTGGCATAAAAGAAAAATGTATAATTTTGACCCATACAATGTATTGTTGGCTATTGCTACAAATATACCCCAGCGACTTAAGACTGCTTTTGTGCTGCAGGGACACATGTGTAAAGTAATCAGAGCTCGGTAGATTACTTCCAAATTGTAATCTGTTACTGATTCCAAATTACATGACAAAAATTGTAGTTAGTAATTACATTACACATTGTAGGTAATGTAATCAGATTACTTTTAGATTACTTTTGATCTAACCCGTTTATCACATTGATTTAAATAAGACGATCTTGTACTATATTGATATAAAAATACAAAGAGTAAAAAAATATATTCCATTTGTTTTTATCAACAACATAAAGTGCATTAAACATTACGTCAAGGTTTCCCAAACTGGGAAATAAAATAAAACACTTCTGAAAAATGAAATATTTTACTTGTTTACCTGCATGTCATGTGACCAAAAGCAGCATCAGAGAACATGCAAATGTGACACTTGTAACGCCCCTGTGGACTGTTTGTTGTGGTTTCTTCCCTTTGTGTTGGTTTAGCCCGTCTATTCATTAGTTAATCACCGTCATTGTGCTCACCTGTCTGCCTCTAATTATTCACCCCATATGAGTTCTGTCTGTCTGAGCATTGGTGTCGGTTATTGTTAATGTTACCCCGAGTGTGTGTCTCACCTACCTGAACCTGCCTTGTTGCGTCTACAATAAATGTCATTATTGGAATCCTTGTCGTCCTGCCTGCCTCCACACACCCGGTTCCGTGACAACACTTCATCATTAAAATATTTATTTTAAAATCTCAGGGGTACTTCAAATAAAAATGTATTTTAAATGAAAGAGTGTTAGATGACACAAAAAAAGTTGGTGAATTTGTGCATTTGAATGTGTTTAAAAGACATTCACCGTTCAAAGTAATACATGGTAAAATATCTGACTGAGTCATAATTCAAATAAAAATGAATGTATTCATCAGTAGTTGATGCAGTGCTGAAATGATTTGTGTAAATGCTGTGTAGCACCTGACTAATGATTGATCTCTGTGTGAATGTCCACAGAACTGGAGACTTTCTGAGTGTTTATAAGCGGTAGATTATTTTAGAAAGGAACATTCAAAAGATGAAAGAGAGGAATTAGGGAGAATCAATAAATTATGAATAAATTATTGCTGTTGTGTAAATAATATGCAATCATGTAATCAATAAAAACGTAAGTGTAGTATGATTTATTTTAAAATGCAGTTTAATCTAATTAGTTACTTTTTGGAATATATATATATATATTAATAAATGATAAATATATGTTGTAAACGGTGAAGGTCATTGAAATATATTTTTGAAGTAAAAAATATATATAGTTTCAGCTTTCATATACCAAACAATGTATTTTGGGGCAAGAAAATATATTTCCAGTCTTACAATAGCACACATTTCGGCTAAATGCAAATGTGGATGGAATAGCCACATCAAAACAATGATTTAGTGCTGTGTCATTTTGTAACATGTTTGTGAAACATTCTGCATTTGCTCTTTGGTGGTCACTGTAACACTGTACGCGATGCTCCGTCGCTCTTAACGTCAATGAAACTCGGTGAAGCAGAAACAACAAGCGATCGATCGATCGGCGCGAATAAACGAACCGGAGAGTCACCGACAGACGCGCGGATGCGGAGCCGCTGGACCAGCGGGGGGCGTGGCCAGCAGAGAGGAGAGAGACGCGATTGGCTGGAGAGCTGCAGCTGGAGGCGGGGTTTCGGAGCTTCTGTTCCGCAGGAGACTGGGGGGTATTACCGGGTGCGCGTGCGCTCAGCGCGTTTTTACCGCAGTGTGTCTGGATTAGTGCGCGGCGCTGCGGCACTCCGCTCGGGTCTCAACGGGAAGAGCGAGAGAAAGCGACCGAACCGCGTCCGTGAGCACCAGCCGTTCCATCGCGCGTATTCCCAGCGGTTATCAAAGCGGCGCGCACCGGAGACATGGCCAAAGACGACGAGAAGAAGGAATCCGGGGAATGGAAGGAATTCTTCTGGAACCCGCGGACGCACGAGCTGCTCGGGAGAACGGCGAGCAGCTGGGGTGAGTGTGCCTTATGTAAGGCGCTCGATTTAACGGCAGCGCGTGATTCCGGTGCGTTCATTCATTTTAACCGGAACGCATTGCGCAATGCGTCTCTCTCTGTCTCTCTCTGTCTCTCTCTCTCTCTCTCTCTCTCTGTGTGTGTGTGTGTGTGTGTGTGTGAATGCATCAGGCCCTCATGGTTAAAGGACAATCTGACGATGCTGCTGCTGCTGTTAAAGGTGAACGGGTGCAGAGAGCTGAACGAGGTTACGGTGTTTGCGCGCGTCTCGCTCGTTGAGATCGTTTAACGGATCGCGAACGCGCATCCGATCGTTCCGATCAAACTGATCGATCGCACGGGAGCGCGCAAGGTTATTCGGTGTGTCCTCCGCGCGCGCGCTCACGTGACGTGGTTTCGCTCACATCCGGAGCAGCAGCATCCATCAGGAGTTATATAACCATATACAGAACACACACACACACACATCGATTTACAGTGGCTGTCACGAGCTCGGATTTGTTTGTTATTTACTGTGTGTGTGTGTGTGTGTGTGTGTGTGTGTGTGTGAGTGTGTGTGTGTGTGTGTGTGTGACCTGATGTGTCTCTCATGAGCTTTCAAAAATAAATTAAGATTTTTACTAATATTGTGCTGGAAGAGGGTGAAAAGAAACTACATTCATATATATCCATATATTCACATACACATTCATATATATATATATATATATATGAATTTTTTTTAAATTTCTCTTCAGTCTGAATCTAAAATGTCTTTTTACTGAAGAACTAACAGTGACAGTAAAATCTCTTACTCCAGTTAAAGAAAAACACTGAAAAGGCAAAAGACTGTTTATAAAGATATAAGATGTGCCATATTGCTTCCAATAATATAGACCAAATACTGTATGTTAATTAATAATAAAACTAAACCACACAAACTTAAATTAAATGTATCATTACATTTTTTTTTATCAGGAAATGATCTCTAGGCTGCAATATACCTGACAATCATATTCCTTACAATATAATAATAATAATAATCTTTATTTTCTATAGCACCTTTAAATGTTAATTCTCAAAGCGCTTTACATAAACAAATAAAACAATAAAATACACCATATAAAAATGATAAAATAAGCAAAAAAGGAAACATTAATTCAAAACACTTAGAAATAAGGATAATATAAAATTTATATAAAAATTCAAGTAAAAGCTACCCTAAAGAAATGAGTTTCAAGCCGAGATTTAAAAAATATTAAGAGGTTTCGCCTGAAATATAGACCAAATATGTAAATTCATCATTAGAGTTTGTAATATTATAAGATTTAAATGTCATATTTCCTCACATTTCTGTGGATTTGGATGGAATCTGCTGCTGTAAACTGATGTAATGCTATATTTTAAAATCATAATTGAACTTAACTATATTTAGATTCATTACAAATTTTTCATATGACCATCCAAATGCAAAACGACCAATCAAATTTTGCAAAAACAAACAGACCACATCAAAGACAGATCACAGTGTGTGTGAGAGTGTGTGTGTGTGTGTGTGTGCGTGAGTGAGTGAGTGAGTGAGTGAGTGAGTGAGTGAGTGA